CAGTTGAGAGACGGGACCAAAGAGCCAAAGCTCAACCCCCGCAAGCACAATTAGGTGAGTACAATTAGGTGAGTATAGTCACCCTCCGCCTCCAAACCACACACACACACTGTCATCCTCTGCCTCCACACCACCCAAACATACTCTCACCCTCCGCCTCCACGCCACACACACACACTCTCCCCCTCCACCTCCACACCACCCACACACACTCTCACCCTCCACCTACACTCCACCCAAACACACTGTCACCCTCCACCTCCACACCAACCACACACCCTCTCACCCTGAACCTCTACACCACCAACACACACACACACTCTCACCCTCCAACTACACACCATCCACACACCCTCTCACCCTGAACCTCTACACCACCAACACACACACACACTGTCACCCTCCACCTCCAAACCATCTACACACACACTTCCACCCTCTGCCTGCACAAGACCCACACACACTCTCACCCTCCACCTCCACTCCACCTACACGCACATTTTCTCCCTCGGCGTCCACAACACCCACACACATACTCTCCTCTTCCACCTCCACACCACCCACACACACTCCCACCCTCTGCCTCCACAACACCCACACACACACACTCACCCTCCGCCTCCACACCACTCACACACACAATCTTTCCATCCACCTCCATACAAACTCTCACTCTCCACCTCTACACCACCCACACACCCTCTCGCCCTCCACCCCAACACCATCCACACACACTATCACCCTCCGCCTTCTCACCACCCACACTCAATCTCCGTCTACCTCCACACCACCCAGAGACACTTTCCCTCCACCTCTACACCACCCACACACACACACACTCAACCTCCACCTCCACACCAAAAACACACACTTTCCCTCTATCTCCACACCACCCAGAGACACTCTTTCTCCAACTCCACACCACCCACACACACCCTCTCACCCTCCACCTCCACAGCTTCCATACTTCCTTTTCGCCCTCCACCTCCACACCACCCATACACACACACTCTCACCCTCCACCTAAACACCACCCACACACACTCTCACCATCCACCTCCGCACCAACCACACACCCTCTCACCCTCCACCTTGTTACGGACCCGAGCCCAGCGTTGTAGCACGGAGCTGTGACGACAACGCCATCTGTGAGTCAGCTCCCGAAACCCTCTCCAAATGGACGACGCCATCTAGCGAGGGCGGGAGATACCGGTCACAGGGGCTGGTTTCCCGTCTTAATCAGCTCATAACATAGCCGCTGCTGACCTCTGGTGAGGTGGCGCTTAGACAGTAACGCCATCTATGGAGTGGATAGGTGGATGTTTGTGTCTAAGCCTGTGAGTGAGGTGCCCTAGAGTGTAACCAGTACTATTGACGTGTCTGATTACAGAGTCGACCTGGGACTGCTGTATTGGACAATGGGGTAGTCTACCCAAGGCAGCCAAAGTCTCTCCACGTGTTTGCTGCAGAAGCTGTGAGTCACCCCCGGACGAACACTGTTGAGTGTGTTAGCCTGCCTGTGACGTGGCAGTACCAGGAATCATCTTATCTGGGGGCTGGCTGGTGGAAGAGACTACCCACTGTGGTGCGGAGAGAGGAGAGTGATCTGCGGAATCTCACGAGGCTCCTGCCTAGGGCTTGCAAGCCTAGTATCGGTCGTGGAGTGGCCTACACAGCGGAGCTGATTGGAACCTGCCAGCTACAGGCTGGATTTGTGGTTGAAGGCCTCCACGACGGTGCACCCAGTAAGACTGTGATTTGGCTGGCCTGTGGCCAGGGTAGATTCACCGAGAGAATCAGAGGATTCATCGTGGGCCACGACAAAGAGAATTAGGGCTACTCATCTTGAGCACCGTGGAGCATCCTGTGTCTTCAGAGGAAGACTAATTTGTATATAATAAGTGTAGTTATAGCAACCCCGCGTGTGACTGTGATATATTTATGGTGGTGGTAGCAATATATATACAAAAGCAGTACATTTGTATCCCTTTCCCTTTAATTTAACTTGCGTTACGGAACGCACCCCCTTGAAAGCCACTATTACCTTATGGCCGGATACCCAAACTCTAATAACATCAGAGAAGAACCCGGTTGCGACCCAATAGGGCCGTAACACACCTCCACACCACCCACACACACTGTCACCCTTCACCTCCACACCTCCCACACACACACACTGTCATCCTCCACCGCCACACCAATCACACACCCTCTCACCCTGAACCTCCACACCACCCACACACACACTCACTGTCACCCTCCACCTACACATCACCCACACACCCTCTTACCTTCCACCTCTATTCCACCAACACACACACTCTCACTCTCCACCTCCACACCACCCACACACCCTCTCATCCTGAACCTCCACACCACCCACACACTCACACCCTCTCACCCTCCACCTCCACAAGTCCCACACACACTCTCACCCTCCACCTCCACACCATCCACACACACACTCCCACCCTCTGCCTCCACAAGACCCACACACACACACACACTCTCTCACCCTCCACCTCCACTCCACCTACACACACATTTTCTCCCTCAGCCTCCACAACACCTACATACACTCTCACCCTCCACCTTCACACCCTCAACACACCCTCGCACCCTCCACCTTCACAACACCCACACACACACTCTCCTCTTCCACCTCCACACCACCCACATACACTCTCACCCTCTGCCTCCACAACACACACACACACACACACTCTCACCCTCCACCTCCACACCACTAACACACACTGTAACCTTCCACCTCTTCAAAACCCACACACACACACTCATCCTCCACCTCCACACCACCAAGTCACACTCTCAACCTCTCCCTCCACACCAACCACAAACACACTCTCACCCTCCACCTCCACACCAACCACACACACACTCACCCTACACCTCCACAACACCCACTCACACACACACTCTCTCTATCCACCTCCACACCACCCAAACAAACTCTCACTCTCCACCTCCACACCACCCACACACTCTCACACTCCACCTCCACACCACCCACACACACATTCTCACTCTCCACCTCCACACCACCCACACACACTGTCACCCTCCACCTCCACACCACCCACACACACATTCTCACTCTCCACCTCCACACGACCCTCACACACACTCTCATCTTCCACCTCCACACGACCCGCGCACACTCTCACCCTCCGCCTCCACACCACCAACACACACACCCTCTCACCCCCACCTCCACACCACCCACACACAAATTCTCACTCTCCACCTCCACACCACCCACACACAAATTCTCACTCTCCACCTCCACACCACCCTCACACAAACTCTCGTCCTCCACATCCACACGACCCGCACACACTCTCACCCTCCACCTCCGCACCACCCACACACACTCTCATTTTTCACCTCCACACCACCCACATACACCTGTTCACCCCGCCTCCACACCACCCACAAACACACTCTCACCCTCCGCACGACCCGCACACGCTCTCATCCTCTACTTCCACACCACACACACACACCCTCTCACCCTCCACCTCCACAAGACACGCACACACTCTCACCCTTCGCTCCACACCACCCGCACACACTCTCACCCTCCACCTCCACACCACCCACACACACTCTCATTTTTCACCTCCACACCACCCACAGTCACTCTCCCTACACCTCCACACTACCCAGACACACTTTCCGTCCACCTCCACACCACCCATACACACTCTCGCCCTCTACCTCCACACCACCCACACACGCACTCCCACCCTCCACCTCCACACCAAAAACACACACACACTCTCCCCTTTCACCTCCACACCACCCATACACACTCTCGCCCTCCATCTCCACACCATCCACACACACACTCTCACCATCCACCTCCACACCACCCACACACACACTCTCACCCTCCACCTCTACACCAAAAACACACACACACTCTCACATCTCTGCCCCCACACCACCCATACACACACTCTCACCATCCACCTCCACACCACCCACACACACACACTCTCTCCCTCCACCTCCACACCAAAAACACACACACACTCTCACCCTCCACCTTCACACCAAACTCACACACACACACTCTCTCCCTCCACCTCCACACCAAACTCACACACACACACTCTCTCCCTCCACCTCCACACCAAACTCACACACACACACTCTCACCCTCCACCTCCACACCAAACTCACACACACACACTCTCACCCTCCACCTCCACACCGCCCACACACACACACTCTCTCCCTCCACCTCCACACCACCCACACACACACACTCTCACCCTCCACCTCCACACCACCCACACACACACACTCTCACCCTCCACCTCCACACCACCCACACACACACACTCTCACCCTCCACCTCCACACCACCCACACACACACACTCTCACCCTCCACCTCCACACCGCCCACACTCACACACTCTCTCCCTCCACCTCCACACCGCCCACACACACACACACTCTCACCCTCCACCTCCACACCACCCACACACACACACTCTCACCCTCCACCTCCACACCACCCACACACACACACTCTCACCCTCCACCTCCACACCGCCCACACAAACACACTCTCTCCCTCCACCTCCACACCGCCCACACACACACACTCTCACCCTCCACCTCCACACCGCCCACACACACACACTCTCACCCTCCACCTCCACACCACCCACACACACACACTCTCTCCCTCCACCTCCACACCACCCACACACACACACTCTCACCCTCCACCTCCAAACCACACACTCCCACCCGCCCAACCACCCACTGGCTAGTGTTGCAGTAACACAGTTGCGATTTTATGTTGCCATGACTGTTGTTGTTGTTGCTGCCATAACTGTTGTTGCTGCCATAACTGTTGTTGATGCTGCTATAACTGTTGTTGCTGCCATAACTGTTGTTGATGCTGCTATAACTGTTGTTGCTGCCATAACTTTTGTTGTTGCGGCCGTAACTGTTGTTGCTGCCTTAACTGTTGTTTCTGCCATAACTGTTGTTGCTGCCATAACTGTTGTTGTTGTTGTTGCCATAACTGTTGTTGCTGCCATAACTGTTGTTGTTGCGGCCATAACTGTTGTTGTTGCTGCCATAACTGTTGTTGCTGCCATAACTGTTGTTGTTGCTACCATAACTGTTGTTGCTGCCATAACTGTTGTTGCTGCCATAACTGTTGTTGTTGCTGCCATAACTGTTGTTGCTGCCATAACTGTTGTTGGTGCTGTCATAACTGCTGTTGCTGCCATAAATGTTGTTGTTGTTGCCATAAATGTTGTTGTTGTTGCCATAACTGTTGTTGCTGCTGCCATAACTGTTGTTCTGGCTGCCATAACTGTTATTGTTGCTATAACTGTTGCTGCTGCCTTAACTATTGTTGCTGCCATAAATGTTGTTGGTGCTGACATAACTGTCGTAGCTGCCATAACTGTTGTTGTTGCTGCCAACTCTCAACAGTTGTTACTGCTGCATAACTGTTGTTGCTGCCATAACTGTTGTTGCTGTCATAACTGTTGTTGCTGCCATAACTGTTGATGCTGCTGCCATAACTGTCGTTGCTGCTGGCAAAACTGTTGTTGTTGCTGCCATAACTGTTGTTGTTGCTGCCATAACTATTGATGATGCCATAACTGTTGTTAATTCTGCCATAACTGTTGTTGCTGCTGTAACTGTTGTTGTTGCTGCCATAACTGTTGTTGCTGCCATAACTGTTGTTGCTGCCATAACTGTTGTTGATGCTGCTATAACTGTTGTTGCTGCCATAACTGTTGTTGCTGCCATAACTGTTGTTGATGCTGCCATAACTGTTGTTGCTGCCATAACTGTTGTTGCTGCCATAACTGTTGTTGCTGCCATAACTGTCGTTGCTGCCATAACTGTTGTTGATGTTGTTGCCATAACTGTTGTTGCTGCCATACCTTTTGTTGTTGCGGCCATAACTGTTGTTGTTGCTGCCATAACTGTTGTTGCTGCCATAACTGTTGTTGATGCTGCCATAACTGTTGTTGCTGCCATAACTGTTGTTGCTGCCATAACTGTTGTTGCTGCCATAACTGTTGTTGCTGCCATAACTGTTGTTGATGCTGCTATAACTGTTGTTGCTGCCATAACTGTTGTTGTTGTTGCCATAAATGTTGTTGTTGTTGCCATAACTGTTGTTGCTGCTGCCATAACTGTTGTTGTTTTTGCTATAACTGTTGCTGCTGCCTTAACTATTGTTGCTGCCATAAATGTTGTTGGTGCTGACATAACTGTCGTAGCTGCCATAACTGTTGTTGTTTCTGCCAACTCTCAACAGTTGTTACTGCTGCATAACTGTTGTTGCTGCCATAACTGTTGTTGCTGTCATAACTGTTGCTGCTGCCATAACTGTTGATTTTGCTGCCATAACTGTCGTTCCTGCTGGCAAAACTGTTGTTGTTGCTGCCATAACTGTTGTTGTTGCTGCCATAACTATTGATGATGCCATAACTGTTGTTAATGCCATAACTGTTGGTATTTCTACCATAACTGTTGTTGCTGCTGTAACTGTTGTTGTTGCGGCCACAACTGTTGTTGTTGCTGCCATAACTGTTGTTGTTGCTGCCATAACTATTGATGATGCCATAACTGTTGTTAATGCCATAACTGTTGGTATTTCTACCATAACTGTTGTTGCTGTCATAACTGTTGTTGTTGCTGCCATAACTGTTGTTGTTGCTGCCATAACTGTTGTTGCTGCTGCCATAACTGTTGTTGTTGCTGCCATAACTGTTGTTGTTGCTGCCATAACTGTTGTTGTTGTTGCCATAACTGTTGTTGCTGCCTTAACTGCTGTTGCTGCTGGCATACCTGTTGCTGCTGCCATAAATATTGTTGCTGCCATAACTGTTGTTATTGTTGCCATAACTGTTGATGCTGCAGCTACAACGGATGTTCCTGCTGCCATAACTGTTGTTGTTGCTGCCATAATTGTTGTTGCTGCTGACATAACTGTCATAGTTGCCATAACTGTTGTTGTTGCTGCCATAACTGTTGTTGCTGCTGCCATAACTGTTGTTGCTTCCTTAACTGTTGTTGTTGCTGCCATAACTGTTGTTGCTGCCTTACCTATTGTTGCTGCTGGCATAACTGTTGTTGTTGCTGCCATAAGTGTGGTTTTTGCTGCCATAACTGTTGTTGCTGCCATAACTGTTGTTGTTGCTCCGATAACTGTTGTTGCTGCCATAACTGTTGCTGCTGCCATAACTGTTGATGCTGTTGCCATACGTGTTGTTGCTTCTGACATAACTGTTGTTGTTGCTGCCATAACTGTTGTTGTTGCTGCCATAACTGTTGTTGTTGTTGCCATAACTGTTGTTGCTGCCATAACTGTTGTTGTTGCTGCTATAACTGTTGTTGTTGCTGCCATAAATGTTGTTGATGCCATGACTGTTGTTATTTCTGCCATAACTGTTGTTGCTGTTGTAACTGTTGTTGTTGCTGCCATAACTGT